TGTTTTATATACTGTTATTCATTAACAACAATTAATATACCATCCTCAATTAGTGTATTAGGAAAATGTTGTTTTTATAAATGTTCATCATTAACATCAATTAATATACCATCAACAATTAGTAAAATAGGAGATGGATGTTTTTATGGATGTTCATCATTAATATCAATTAATACACCAACACCAATTAATGAAATAGGAAGTAGATGTTTTGAATACTGTTCATCGTTAACGTCAATTAATATACCATCATCAGTTAAATCACTTGGATATCATTGTTTTTATGGATGTTCATCATTAACATCAATTAATATACCATCATCAATTAATGAAATAGGAGATGATTGTTTTAATGGATGTTCATCATTAAAATCAATTAATATACCTTCATCAGTTATATCAATAGGATATTGGTGTTTTTATGAATGTTCATCATTAACATCTATGAATATAGATAATTTACAATTTATTAGTGAAGATAGAATATTTATGAATGAACCAGTACTAGTTAGTGTTCAAATACCAGAAAATCTACAAATAATCAATGGAAAGAATATTGAAAAGAAAGATATTAATAAATTTATTATTCCATCTTCAATTACTAAATTAGGAAATGCATGTTTTAATGGATGTTCATCATTAAAATCAATTAATATTCCATCATCAATAAGTAAAATAGGACATGGATGTTTTGATAGATGTTCATCATTAACATCATTTAATATACCATCTTCAATTACATCATTTGGACGTGGATGTTTTGAAGAATGTGGATGTGAAGATGAATTAATGAAAAATAAAACAATACCAAGTTATTGTTTTGAATCTGATGAAAGCTGGTCTGATTAAAATAAAAATACAATAAATGAAATACAATATAATTTGAAGTAGAAATAAATTATAATTGATTATCATTTATATTATTATTATTCTTTTCTTATTTATTCTTTTTGATATTATTCTTTTTTATTGTGTTAAAATATTTATTATTATTTATTGTATATGTTTATTATTTCTTATATCTTCTATTTTATCATATTTATTTATTATCTTTTATATCTTTATTATTATTTTATTATTGTTTATTATTCTTATATTCTATATTTTAACTTATGATTTTCTATTATTAAATATAAATTAAATGAATTTGATATTATAGATAAATAAATATCAATTTTATTAATCTATTTGTATTTATATAATATAAATATCAATAAAAATAAATTATAAGTTAAATTAAATGAAATATGAATATGAATAATATTAATATAAAATGAAATAATTAAATAATAAGAATATATTTAAAATATAAATATCAAATACATGAATAAAATAAATAATAAAATAATAAAATATAAATCAAAATAAATAAAATAATGAATAATAATCAAATATTAAAACATGAATATGTATGTAATCAAATATATAAACATATATTAATTACATATTTTATTAAATTTAATGAAATTTAATTTTAATATATATCATAAATGTGTATTAATAATAATATATTCTTATATTAAATTATTGATTTATTTGTTAATGACAATTCTTTTATTGTTAGAATACCAGATATATATTATCAAAATATCAAAGATAAAAATGATATATTAATGATGTTGATATATGTCAAGATAGAAATAATGAATTAAATTATATTTACAAAATAAATAATTACAAAGAATTACAAGAGAAGTTAATACAAAATAGAGAATTAATTTATATAGAAATAATACTTGTAATATTAACAATAAATTAATACATAAAGAATCAGTAAGAAGATTAAAATCACTAAAATTACAAATCAACTTCCCCCAAAATAATACGAACAATCATTATTAAAAACATGAAATATTTAATGTTCTA